AATGCAATTCACAAGAATGTAGTGAAGGAAAGAGAGAAGAAAGAACTAAACATCAATTCAAATTGGAGAGACCAAAATTAAACAAGTACAAAAATTTAAATATCTGGGAAGTGTTTTAACAGAGGATGGAAGGTAATGAAGGAAAGCAAGGGGAAAGGATTAAACATCAATTACAAGAAGACAGAATGCATGGTTGCTAGCAAAAGGAACAGCCCAAAATGCAAATTACAAATTGGGGATGGCAAAACCAAATAGGTACAACAATTTAAATACCTGGGAAATGTTTTAACAGAGGAGGAATCAAAGGTGCATTGGGATAGCCAAAGATGCCTTCCAAAAGGTAAGCAAAGTATTATGAAACAGATAAATTTTGTTAGAAACAAAGAATACTAAACTGTTACATGATATCAGTCCTCTTATATGACAGTGAATGCTGGACAATCTCCTCATAGATGAAGAAGAGACATGAAGCAACAGAAATGTGGTTCTGCAGAAGCATGCTGAGAATATCATGGACTGACCATGTGAGCAATGACAAAGTTTTAGAGGAAATAGAAACAAAAAGGATAAAATCAGGAAGAGATAGTTAGTTTCTGGGTGCACATAATGAGGAAAGAGGGCTTGGAAAATTTGATATTCACAGGACAAATTGAAGGCAAGATGGACAAAAGAAAATGATACATAACCTATCTAGTGAGCTTCAGTAAATGGATAAAAATGATATATATATGTGTATGTGTGTGTGTTTGTGCACTCATGTATGAGCAGGCTTCATTTTATAGCACAACCCCTAAATTTTTAAGCATGAATTTTAACCCCTCCAGAAAAAAATGTACCTGTATATAGAGTAACAAGTTGCTGAAAAAACATGATTTGTATAATGCAATCCCTTGTTTTTCTGTAAAAAATGATCATAAAATTTGCCCTGTACTTGAGTTGGATGATATATCCAGTTAACATCATGGTGTTTAGTGTTATCACCAGTGATGGCAACATTATGCCTTAATTCATCTTCTCACATAGACTCAGACTCAACACAGTCCTACATCAATTGCCTTGAGGAGGTAGGGATGCTCTGGGTCAAGAGGGTGGCTACTGAAAGACTCCATGTTTGGCAACAGGACTCGGAACCATGCCACACAAGCAGGAGAACCCAGTCATGGCTGCCAGACAATTTTTGTGACCACATCACCCCTTACATCTGGTCACCTAAATCCCCAGACTGTAACCCCCTTGATTATTATGTGTGGGGCGCAGTAGAGCAAGAGACCAGCAAAACTCCTTGTAATATCAAAGATGAACTGAAGGCAAGGATTATGGCAGTATTCACCAAACAAGGAGGCTATATAGAAGAGTTGCAGAAGATTCCAAAGTCATCTGGAGGCCATGATTGAAACCAATAGCAATTTTATTGAATAAATTTACTCTTTAGTATTTCAAGATATTTTTATGTAATTTAGGTAAATATATCTGTTAAAATGAAATGTCTGTTATTTTTCATTTTTTGTGTAATTTAAACAATTTATCCATTGCATTCTCTCTCTCTCTCTCTCTCTATATATATATATATATATATATATATATATATATATATATATAAATAATAAAAGAAATCTGAAAAAGGTTAAAAGATAATTCTGATATTTAGTGTTTTGGTCTTATTTTGGGAAGTTGATTTCTACAAGAACTTTTCACCCTCACCCAAATATATATTCTTTGTAACCCATCATCTTTATTATTTTATATTTTCCATCAGCTTTCATATTTCATTTCAGAAAAGATTTTAAACTATTGTTGGTTGTTTTCTTTCAAAACTTTTTCAGAATTTTTATCAGACTGCAAGCAACCTCCTCTCTGCTAAACACAAAATTTGGGATGTTCTCAAAACAAAGGTAAGAAAAACTGAGCAAATGTTCAGAAGAGCTCCACTCTTTACTTCCAGCACTTTAGACCATTATGGCAGCAAGGACTCCCTATACTTCCTCCAGAATTGAATCACCTCCATTTTTGTATATTCCAAATGTAAAGTTGTTCCTCTCAAACAGCTTTTCCCTGAGAATGACTACTTTGTAGCAGAAACACTCCTGTGTGACTGCTTCCTTGAAGACTACAATCTCCAGATCACCCACCTCATTCAGTTGCCCTCTACCAGGTGTGGCTCTTGGGCCTTGTACTGATGAACTTAAAAAAAATCAATCCCTTCCCTGGCATAGACATATATATAGGTTGTTACCAAAAGTGTCTTTTTCAGACACAGATGAATAAACACATCTAAAACATAATGTTCAAAAACCAGCTTACTGACATGTTTATATGTCGATCTTGTTTCAATCTCAGAAGGGCATAAAATGAATCAACTCCAGCAGCCAACTGATACATCTGGTAGAGGTGTTAGCCACCACTCGGGTACTTCAAAGTGTCTCAGTTTCTTAGTTACTATATTAACCCTTTGAAACCTGACCACCGCTTTACTGGTGGTAGAGAAAAATGATGTAATGCCAAGCCTCTGGTTGAACGGTGGGTAAACACTTATAACTATTTTTATATCTACCATGAAACATTACATACCAATTATTTGTGAATTTTGACTCAAGAGCTCAAGCAGAAGAATTATAATTGTTCAGTAACACAGGGTTCAAAGGGTTAAAAACAAATTAAAAAAAATTTCTGAAAATGAAACGTTTTTCCCAAAATAATTGGCAGGGAAGGGGTTAAATACTTTCCTTATTTTCAACCATAATTCAACAAATAACTCAGCCCAGTATTGCTGTTCTTTATTGCAAATGCATTTCAGCTGGTGCTGTCTCTGGTCTTCCCCAGGTGACTCATGCTAATTGATTGACTTTAATAATGAAACACTGAAAATCATTGTGTTTTATATGCAGAACTGGCAGTAAATTTGTGTTAACAAAATTAAAATATATTTACTGAACAATATCCTAGGGGATTAAAGTATTGGTTTATATATTTGGTGTCATAGTAACTGCAAGTTCAATCCCTGCTCAGGGTAGTACAAATTTAAATACAGAGGGAATAATAACTTGGCAGTACTATAAAAACAGCAAGACAAGATATCCCACAATGCAAGACAGTTGAGAAAAACCCAGATTTGGAAAATTTGCAGAGAGGCCTATATCTGAGTATGCAAAGCTGTTCTGCTGTTAATGGGGAAAACCAAGACATAACTAACTAGTTTCAACATACATGTCTGCATGGGACTCAGGGCCTCCTTTGAATCTGTACTGGCACTTGTTCGCCACACAGTTAAAATTATATTCTATGGTAGTAAACATTGAGGATAAAATTAATCTAAATGAGGCCTCAGCCTCACATATAAGATGCAGGGTGTGTTTTTTTTTTCTTTTTCTTGATGCATTTTAAATTCTGTCATATACAGTACCTATATAGTATACTTTACCTTCACACATATCCTGTGATTTTTTTTATTAAAAATTATCAACCTATTTTTTGGGGATTTAATAATTCTCTTTTGTTGTTGTACCATAAGTAATATATATATTTTATATGTGATTTAAGTGCTTTGGTAATAGTAATTTACCTCATCCTGGACTTATCAGATATACAACTCAAGCCTTTTATGCTTAACCTGCCATCAGTAACACTACCACAATGTGATATTTGCATGTAAAGATATATATCTTATAGGCAGGTTGATATTATATGACCTTCTATTAATACATTGAGTTTTTCTCATCATCTCTTCCTCTTTCTCGCTTCAGAATAATGGTGTTCCAAAATTGATGAAAGTTATTGGAGACTTTGGGAACTCCATAGTAAATAATTTGGATAATGTATTGGATGAGCCAGTATTCCAGACGGAAAACATGGGTGAGAAATATTTATTAACCCTTGACCTGCTATGAACAGCTATAATTGACAATGTTATACAGGAATAAAATGTTGCTTCTGACATTTGGGTTTGAACATAGATCATCAGAAAGCAAACACAGGCGATCCCATTTTGAATAAGTAGATCACGTGATAGTAAAGGAAATGTATGTATGTGTATGTATGTGTGTATGTATGTGTATGTATATATATATATATATATATATATATATATATATATATATATATATAGGAATTAGTGTGACGTCTAATTGATCCCCTTTTCTATTCTATCCTCTATTACTATACAGATCGCTATTCTTTTTACTATTCTCTATACAGATTACTATTTGGAGGTTACTATTTGAGTGAGTATTATCAATCAAGTACTATTAGTGCAAGTGTTATTCGAAGGCATCTGATGCCAGTATTGTTCAACAGGCAGGAGTGAACTTAAAGTCCGCCTGAAGGGTAGCTTCTAGGCTATTTTATTAATAAAAATGTTTGGAAGACAGGTTTTCAGCTAAACTAAGATAAAATTTAAAATACTTTTTTTCTTTGTTTTCTGCCTGTTCTATGAATCATTTTTTAATTTTGTTTTTCTTTACTATAGTCTTTATTTTTAAAATGTTTTCATTGATATTCTTCAGCCTGTATATTCTATGAAATTTCCACATGATTATTTCAGTATACTATATATTTAGGGAGGGGGGGATTTTCTATATTTTTAGCTTATCATTTTGGCTGACACAATCTTCTGCCTTCTTCTTTAGAAGACACTTCTTTTTCATTTCTTTCATTACTGACTAATCCTTAAATTGAAATCAAATGAGATTTAATATCAGATTCCTTTCATGTCCTTCTTTTTATCAATTTCAAGGGATGTGTTTTTTTTTCTTTTATTTCTCAGATGTTCAAATTGGACAGACAAAGTCAAAGGACATTGTTTTCCCCAAACATGATTGCAACAAAAGTAATGTTATCATTTCTCAAAAGACTTTGGAATCTTTTCTACCAGGTGAGTTTGAAAAAAAAAAAAAAAAAGTTAAGCAACATTGGACCTGGTCAGTACTCAGATGAGTGAGTGTAAAACCAACGAAAGAACAAAGAATAAAAAAAATAATTCATTTGTGAAATTAGTTGCACAGGTTATGGCCAGATCATGTTGAAACACCAGTTTTCATTCGATCACTGAAGTTAAGCAACATGGAGCCTGGTCAGTATCCAAATTGGTGATGGCTGGGGAATACCAGGTGCTGTAAGCTATGCAACATGCCTAGCAAGCTGGCAATGAGTACAACTTTACTACTTATACTAACAGTAGATCTCAATATGTGGAGGTTCTTCTAGGCAGACAGGTTATAAGACCTACCTGGAGTTGGGTGAGAAAGTGAAAAGACAAAGAAGTTACCCTAGAAATTAAGAGAAACAAATTTTTGTTTCTATTTGTCAATTTTTTTTTATTTTGAAAAGAGATTAAGTAAAATTCAGTTCTTCCAAAATTGTGCAGTTTTGAATTTGTGTGGTTGTAAAGAAAATAAAAGACTGTCAACTTATAGTAGCAATAAATGTCTGCAATAGATTTCTTCTGTCTCTCAACAACAACACTTGGAGCCAAATCACAGTTCACACGATAGTCCATCATAACAGTCTAACAAGCAACGTAGAAACGGCAAAATGAGGTCACAAATCCAACCTTCACTTCTCACCAGTAAAAATTCACGTTCATTTACCAAGCTCGGAAAATCTGCCTTTATAAGCGAAGAACAACGGCTTTTGTTCATCAAGAGATTTTTCTGATTGGTCACGCCATTCAGGGGAGGAAAGAACATTAGCATAGTCCTTAAAGTAGATTTTTTTTTTTTTTTGCTGACTACTTTTTGGTAATTTTTTTTGGCAGATTGCACACAAAACACACTCTTTTTTGGGGTAGCTGATTATCTCTTTCACAACAATTTGTCAAAAGAAAAAAAGATTCTTAATAAAAAAAAAAAAACAAGTCATTATAAAATTAAATCAATCACGTATGTGTATGTGTGTATATATCTAGGTATGTGCAAAATTTCAGATAGAGTATATCTAATTGCATTATTTACATTAATTGGACTGTTATCTTCATCTTCACAATGTTTCGGCCATTGTACGCTGTTAATAAAGCAGATACCTCCTCCATCCACAAAGCAATCTCCCTAAAATGTTTCTTGGAGATCCAGTTTGGGTTGTATTTTAGCCACTTTACTTCCAGTAAGTCATTATCTGCATTGCCCTATATTCTAAAAAATCCATTTTCTTTTAAATAATCAGTCAGTTATGTGCCATGCATGATACACGCTTAGGCAATCATGTATCTTTTGATACATGACTGACAAGGCAGATTTTTTCCTTCAGTAGGTTGCCATTTCTTTCTGCGGTAGATCAGTTGCCATCCAAAGCTATAAAACCTGGTCTGTCCTGCTATTTACCCATAGCTGGATGAAGAGGATTCATACCTTTCCCAAGGGTATTAGCATGTAAGTGAATGTAATGGATTTGATTGAAATTCAAACTCAACTCTCTGATTCCTCAATCCAAGCCACTATCCATTACTCCACCATGCCTGCCTTATTAGATCATAAGGAAGCCAATTTCCAAGTTGTAGCAATCCAGTTTCCTAATTCCTGAAATCTTAAGTCTTTACCTTCTTTCATCTCTATTGGATTGACGGTTTGACTGCAAGAAATTGTTGATATGAAATTGACGTTCCATGTTCCAATTATCCACATTAAAGTTGCAATGCCAAAAATAGTTCATGTCAATGCTGCACACACTCAGAGAATTTTTTTTTCTATTTTTGGCAAAGATATGCAGAATTTGAATTTTGAATTAAAAAGTAATTAAAAGCCATTGTAATGTTCACATCTGCACATAGATAAATAAAGCATAAGTGGGCGGGGAGTGGACTGTTATTTCCCCTTAGGTATGTTGTTCCATGAGACTTCATTATATTATACGTGACTTTAGATTTACTCTACATCAAAACCTGCTCACAAAACAAATCCCCTAAAAAAATATAAATACAATATAAAAGGATCAAATCACAAACATTGCCTTTAAAACAAAAACATGAGACTTACATCCATATCACATTAAAACACCAGTTCTTGTATGATCACCAAAGTTAAGCAATGTTGAGTCTGGTCAGTACTTAGATGAGTGACCACTTGGAAATACTAGGTGCTGTAACCTTGGATGTATGGGTGGTGTAATGGATAATAGCTTGGAATTGTTAATCAAAGAGCCAAGTTCCAATTTCCAGTTGCATTTGTTATATTCACTTACACACTAATACCCTTGGGAAAGGTATGAATCAATCTCTTCTCCCCCTGCTATGGGTTAATTAGTAAGACTTGCATCACTAAATCATTATTATCTCAAAAAAAATTCTTACAATCTAAAAATATTTTCTGGTTTTAAATAATCTGCAAAGAGTTGATGAGCCATAGAAAATGAGTCATGATCCACCACTTTTGCTTTTAAGAACACCACTCACTACACAGTTACAGCAAATGAACATGATGTCAATGTTATCACCAGTGACCTTGGTCAACCAACCCAACACATGCAAGAGTTATTACATCTTGATTCTCTATATCAGCAATATAAAGAATTTCATTTTTTTCCTTTGCCTCACCAGCAGTACCTTATTTTGTTTGTTCTCTTGTGTTACTATATGTGCATTTATAATAATTATAGAAGCAATGCTGAGTTAAAAAATACTGCCTCATGTTACTTTCCTCGTGGACCTGCACAACAGTAGACATGAAGTAACTCAGCATGAAGGTAGAACTTAATTTCGGCAACTGGTATTCTCTTTATTTTTGGAAACACAAATAGATCCATTCTACATACATTGAGACATTTTCATGTTGGCATCATTAAAACATTGTCTCTATATTTACAACTTTGTTTTTGATGTCTTTTCTTCACATTTCAAATTTCATTTTTTTGCATTTCTTTGATTGTTTATGAGTTAGGCAGAAATTTTTAACTATAAAGCCTTAATGTCCATCATCATAAAAACAAATGGAAAGTGGTGATTAAAGGGGGAGTAATTTATTAATTTAGAAACCCTTCAAGCTTCAAATATTTTTTATCTTAAACATTTAACATATTCAAATAAACAATATTTATTGCAAAGATATTTTTTCCAGCTAACGAAACTGTTGGCTATACTGCCATTTACTACAAGAACTTGGCCAGCCTTTTGACAAATAAACCAGATTTCTTCTCAGACATGTAAGTATAACATATATATCCACATATGAAGCACTGCAAATATAAGCATATATATATTTATTAATATATATTCCTTAGATCGGTCTAACCATATTGAGCACTGTTTAGTTTACACCTTAAATTGAATTGAGTAAATATTTACTTTCTTACCTGTGTGTGCACACTAATATATATACAATTGCTAATATCTAGTTATTTGATTTACCCACCTCAATATCTATCTATCTATATATATATAGTCTTAAGATGTGCTATATTTATGGGATAAAGTGCTCAGAGAGCGTATGTAAATATAAAGGTTTCATGCTAGATGTGTTCGTCAGGCCACTATTTAAATATAAGATAAAATATTTTTCCCAGTTTATTTTATATATATATTAACATATGCTTACACACACACACACACACATATATATATATATATATATAAACATATGCTTAACATATATATATATATAAAAACATATGCTTAATAGCTCTATTACATCAAGCGCTGTTTTACTAACACCAGCACGATGAGCAATATGTATATAATTAATACAAGTAAAAGTCTTGTCACTTATATGATTGGTGTTACCTACAGCATCCTGACTTCAAATTTTCATAGACAAACCATCTGTGAATTACTCCATCCACTCATCAGGGGATATCAGCAATTGACTGCTTTTACTTCTCAATTCTTTTTTTATATAATATTTTCATTGGTGTAAGTTTTTTTTTTAGTTTTTTCATAGTGTATGTGTGCATACGCTAAAAAATAATTATAATAATGCCACATATTATACATAAAATTCAATGTACATCAAGCTAAACCGAATTTCTGCCAATAAGTGCTCAATAGTTATCTATAGAAATAATTATTGTATGTACATTAATGCTTATAATAATTATCAAAAGTCAACTCAGTTGTTTCCTGATTCTTCACTTGTCAGGACCCAGACAAGAATGATTCTCTTATCATAAATTTTATTATTTTATAATAAATAAAATATATATTCTGTAATAATTAATACAATCATTCTTGTTTAGATCCTGCTGAGTGATGGATCCCAAAACTCTAAGTTAGAAGTTCCCACCATTTTTTTTTTTTATCATTGCCCACTTTCACATGGAAAAATTTTCCAATGCCCACCTGTATAGTAACCATTCAAAAACATACCAAAATTATTTGGTAAAAGTTTGTTACTAGTTCATAAACTGACTTTATAATGTAGTATAAAAAATACCAAAGAGAGATAAAAAAAAAAATAACACTGGCTTACACAGCTGCTGTTACTACCTTATTAAAGAACAAATGAAAGCAAATGTGACCACTGAAAACACACACACATATATATATATATATATATATATGAAAATTTCTCTGATTTAACCAGTAGAGAAGACAATATTTATGAATAAAAATGACAATAGGAAAACTGGTAATTGCTGACGCGTTTTGTATTTTGCTTTGATAAAGTCCACATTGAACGAAACGTGTCAGCAATTATCAGTTTTCCTATTGCCATTTTTATTCATATATATAATTTAGTTTTATGGTAAATGCTAGTTTTATGGTTGGAATTAGTGTTGCAAGTGTTGACAAAAAATTAAATGATTTTTGTTAATAATTATAAACTTAAAAAGAAAAATACTTGCAACTAATAAAAATTCAGCAAATACTTTTTTGTTTTTAGTCTCCCCCTTATCTGGTTTTATCTGATTCTTTTTTTATTTCCTCTGAAGAACAATTTTAATCTTAATAACTTTTCTCAAAACTATAGAAGATAACAAAATATTTCTTGTTTTTGAGGATAATTATGTCCTATCTAGAAATGTGACCCATTTATTCTCATTTTTGTTTTATACAGGTTCTTTGCATAACTCTCTTGAATATTTTTTTTTGGGGGGGTAGCATAAGTTGAGATACTTTTTTAATACTCAAAACCTTATATCACCCACTCAAATTTCCGATTGCTCACCCGACAGTTGAAATCACCCGCCATTTGAGAAACTCTGTTCTAAGCCAACCTCAAATAAGTATTTTGAATTTATATATTTCCCGTGTCTCACATTGACATGGTTGCAAACATTTTCCCCGTCTCGCATTGTCATGGTTGCAAATATTTTTTCCCCTTACTCATACAGAAAATACAATCGATGCAATTGGAAAATTACTTAGAAATTACTGTAATTTTTTTTTAACAGAATGACCCCGCCCCAAAGAGTAGAGACATGTTCCTGTAGATTTTTATCTCTTTCTTTATTAGGAACCAGACTCTGAAAATGGAAACAGTGAACTCTGATGTTCTTGCTGTTACTTTGGCAAGTAAATTACCTGCTTACCTCAATCCACCTGTTCAATTAACATTTCAGCACATCCAGGTGAGAGAACCTTTTCAAACTGCATATTACATCTCAATACTTGTATAAACATATTATTTAAAAATAAATGACTAACTACTTAAAAAAAAAAAAAAAAAAAAACTATTGTCAAAACAAAATAATTTTTTTTAAAATATACCAAACAATGGTTAAGGTGGATAGTGAACCTGCCAAATATTTTTTAGGAGCCACTGAACCTCCTTGAAAAGAAAGATTTTCAAATTATAAAAACTCTTTTAATAGTAAATGGTATAAAAACACCACTATGCTAGGCTTGCAAGAAAAAATTTGAATTCTAGCATTTCCTGAGAAAAAAAAAAGCCATTTCAACAAAAGATCAGTTTTGAGATTTTAAAAATTAAAAGAAATTATAATAAAATGTACATATGGGAATTCTATTTTATTCAATGAATATTTATGCATGGGTTTTTCTTGGGTGGTGGCTGCTTCAGTACACTTCTCTTGAGAGAAACAGTAGCAATCACTGTGCACATGTATGAAGAGGTGCAAACAATAGAATAGACTAATTTTAAGTCTCTGATGATGGTTCTTTCACTGTGAAACTTTAAGTTATGTATATATGCAGGGTACATTTTTAATAAGATCCAAAAATCATTATTTTTAGAATATACATATACCAGCATACTGAAGTAATGGATAGTGGCTCACATTGAGGAATCAGAGAGCCAAGTTCAAATTCCAGTCAAGTACATTATATTTACTTATAAGATAAAACACTGCCTTGCCCATGACACTCTGCTGCTGCCGTGGCCATAATAGGTGTATGGTGCCCCTACAACCCTAAAGGGTTTAGAGGATTCATGATTGTGATGTACCAGCCAATCATAAGATTTTCATATCAAATTGATCTGTATCACTGTGATTTGCTTAGGCATTTGGAAGGTTCCTTTTGACAATACCTCCCCATTTCTGTTGAAGGGAAAAAAATAAAAAAAATTTCCTGATGTTTTCTATGGGCACTTTTAAATGTGATTATATTCATATTGTAATATCCTAGTATTCATAAAAATATTCTTAATCTTTTGCATATAGAGACCTGTTATTGTTGTTTGGGATCATGTGACAACAAGTCTCTTCAAATCTTCAGTATTTATTCTCTTTATTTTCAACATGACAATAATTTATCTGGGTAAACTTCTTGTATTACTGAATAATTCCAAATTCTTGCTCGGTTATTTCTTATATTACATATACTTACCTGTTGACAATATGTTTGGTGGTTATCTCTGGAGATTAAGTGACAGTAACTCTTCTCAGATCTCCAGTACCTTACTCAGTATCCTCACAGCTGTAATTTATACAATATTAATTTTCCCCTATATTGTTAATACATTCAATCTAAATTGTAATATTTTTTGGCATATGAAGAATAAAATCTATTGCAACATATTTTAGCTTTCAAAAATGCTTCATCCCATATTTGATTGGTTTCATCAGAGGGTAGTTCTATCCGAATTTCTTGTATGAGAAATTTACATTTTTTGCAGTCAAACTAATATCCTCATCTTTGAATTCAATCCCCAAGTTGGCTAACTAGATGCTGTAAGCTTGGATGTACAGGTGGTGCAATGGATAATGGCTTGGAATTGGTAATTGGACAGCAGAGTTCCAATTCCAGTTATCTCCCACCAAAAACTAAAATAAATTCACTTATAAAATATTTAGATTTTGACATTAAATAACCAATACAGCTGTTAAACAAACCCAACCAACCAAGTTGTATATTTTCCTGAGTATGATGATAAACTACATCGGCGTTCTGGGTAAGATGATAAACTATATCCAATAGCAAGACCTCTGATCTGGAGATTTTGAGGAACATAGAACCACCTCTTAATTGCTGGTGTTCCCAGGACCACCTTGACCTGGGGTGGTAGCACCTGTTAGGGTCCCAGCTATGGGTAAATAGTTAACCTCCAAACTGGGGTGAAAACATGTAAAAAAAAATGGGTTTTAATAACAGCAAAACATTTATGTAAAAAATTATTACCAGGAATAGATTTTTGAAGAAAAAAAATTATTGCCAGCAATACATTTTTGGGAATAATTTTACCAAAAATACCTTTTGAAAAAAAAAATGTTATCAGCAATAAAAATCTTGTCGGCATTAAATAACCTATTATGGTTGTTATGCTGTAAACCAAACCAAGTTGGATAGTACATGTGTAAACTCAGTGGTAACTGTACGAGCAATCACTGAGCAGTACTGAAAAGAATAAGACAAAATATACATAGACAATAGCATGCAAACAATCTATAATTTGTAGGTTAAATAAAGGGTTTAATTAAGAATTCCTTAAAGGATTCCGGGATTTACAGACCCCTGAAAAAGACAGGAAGGCACAATAACTGAAACACTGTGATGACAACAAAGATAAGGATATTAGTCCAAATGTAAATAGAGATCATTTCTTTATCTATTTTGATTTCATATTGCTTAATTGCCAAAGACAGGATCAGTTTAAAATGTTGCAACCAAAAGTAGTAAAATGATGAAGAAATTCATCAAAATTAATAATAAAATTTGTGAAATAATGAAAATGCTTTGCATAAGAATTTCAATAGCATATAAAAAAACAAAAAAACAAACACTTTCTATTACCCCCTTAACAAAATGCCCCCCACCCCAAATTTGCTCTGGGTTTTATATATACAGTTTGGTGGGTTAAGGTTTACCCAGATATTGTAAACCACCTGTCCTTGCATCTGGTCAAGCTGCATAATAATTTATTTCTTTGAAAAATGTTATATCTCTTCTAGATGTAGTAAATCATGGCTCTTCACAGCTTCTTTTTTTCTTTATTATCTGTGAATTGCCATGACTTCTGAAAGATAATGGAGAATTTTCCTTCCCTATAGTTATGAATTGAGAGTAACCATTCCCTCTGACCCACCAAAAGCTGAAGATACCAACATACTCTACTATTTAATCCATAGTTGGGAGAGAACCAATGGGTTCATGTCCTTCCTGAGAGTGTTAATGCAAAGTGAACACAACTGATTTGGATAGAACTTGAACTTGGAATGTCAAATCCACTTAGTACAATGATGACTGTTGTGTTACCTGCACATTAAATGTAAATAGCAGAGGGAATCTTAAGTCTTTGTAATTTAAAAGCAAAAAAAAGATCAGCTAAAAGATCAGATAAAACCCAACAAAAAAGTCAGAAATCCCTCCACATTAACAATAATTATTATGAAAATACTCAAGATAAAAGAAAATGTTTCAATTTGATTTTGTCTTTATTTAAACTATTTACATCATTTAGACTGTTGTTGTCATCTTTATTGCCATATTCACGACATTTTGGCCGTTGAACACTCCAGCCTTCTTCAGGTGATATACATTGGAATTTCAAACCAAAGTTTTCGTTTCATCCACAAGGGTAGATTGTTCTAGTTCCACATGCCATGCCTCTTCCTGATATCTCAGTTTCAGTTGTTTCCCTTGAGTAACTCAACTCTCTAAATTTTTTGTTCACCTCTGCTGTGATCAGGTATTGAACTCACAACTCTTTGGGTCAAGTCACTGTATTACTTCAACCAATGCTTCGCCCTTGGGGAGAATGGTCGGAACTATGTATATAGTGTAAATAGTTACATACCTCATCTTAGAAATATAGACAAATATTAATTTTGTTTCTTTTGAAAGTGTAGAATGAAAAAAAAAATGCTGTAATTTTTAAAATAAGACTATAAAATAACAAAATGAAAAAATTCCTAGTTTTAACAATAATAATAAAGAACTTACATCTCACCAATTGAATATGAAGGGAATGATATAGTGGTTCCCTATAGTGTGCATGGCGTGGTTGGTCTTAGCTGAGAGTTGATTGATCTGTTTTTTATGGCTTGTCAACCTTTTTCAGCTTATTTAAAGTCAGAAGAAAAGAAGTGCAATAGTGGGTATCGGGTGGATTTCTCAAACCTTTGAGAAGAAAAGAAGTGCAATACTGGGTATTAAGAAGTTTTTTTTCATCAATACCAATATATTTTAAATTTCTATTTTTGTTTTATTTTTTGTAATTTTAACCAATTAAAATAACGTGATAAAGTTTAGGCCAAGTTTAAAAAAAAAAAAAGACTCGGATCTTAATGTTATTTCTTGAAACTAATTCTCCAGATTTTAAATATTGCAGAAAAACATGATAAACCCACTTTGCAGTTTTTGGGATTTCAATTCCAAGTAAGTATCATAACGCCTTTACTTCTTGTTTCTTTTCATTACTTAGATTGTATGATCAATATTGTTTTATATATTGTTTTATATTTAACATAAAATCATTTAAATATCACAATCTACAAATGAATTGTGGAAAAACACACTGAAATGTCTCATTTCGGAATATGTACCTATGTCAAATTTCAGTCACATGTGAAATGAAAAAATGCTACAAACTTTGATTTGAACTAAATACTTTAAAAATTGTAATACACTTCTGCTGACACAAAGTGAGGCAATTGAGTCAGTTACAAGATTTGATTACATTCAGTCAATTACCAAGTTCATTGCTAAGAAGATTGGTTGACTGTGTCATGCCAGACAATTTTTATCATCAGAATTCATCTTGCATATTTATAAATTGACCATTTGTCAGTGCATTGAATGTTGCTGCAATATCAGGTCTGGTGTCCAGGCTGTATATCTTGAGATTCTCAACAAAATCCAGAGAACCGTCTGTATTGTTATTGAGCCTGACATCCCAACTTCAATCACTTTCACACCACCATCATCTCTCTCTCTGCATTTTTCTATAAATATTTTCATGATGATTGTTTTACCAAGCTCTCCTTCTTGGTGTCTCAACTGCATCAATTTAAGTGTACTACTAGATTGGTTACTAGTTCTCATTGTTCTACTATTGAAATAGCTAGATGCAACCATCAGTTCTATTCTAATTATTTCTTTTCTTGCACTTATCTGTGGAACTCTCTTCTGGTTTTTACTTCTCTTCATCCTAAAATCTTATAAAATTTAAATGTCAGTGTCAGTTGCCATCTTCTGTCTTTTCGAATTCAGTTCTTTTATTGTTCTTTTTCCTTACTGAAGTCTTCTCATTCTCTTTCACTCCAAGCAACCCTTTGCATCATAGTGGCATTATAACCTTGTTTGGAGTAAATGATATATAATGTTATGAAATGGACAAAGTCCGACAATTATTTAAGACATTTTTTATGTTTATACATTCTTTTTATTGATACAAATATTTAAGTAAATGCTCTGTTTATAATAAACAGTATTAACAACATTTACCGGCCTGAATGTCCGAGAAATTTTCATAGAAAATATGCATCCGCCAACAGGAATCGAACCTGTATACTATATGGAACCGTCATATAGCCTGACGTGCCTTAACTGATTGGGCCACAGAGGAGCGTTTGGTTAGCAATGTTGTCAATACTGTTTATTATAAACAGAGCATTTACTTAGATAATTTATCTATAAAAAGAATATATATATATATATATATATATATATATATATATATATATTGCAATAATATTTTTTTCATTCCAAGCAAGGCAGTAAATCCACTAAGATACAGGGGGTTGTATAGAATATGAGAAAAAGTAAAATATTATTAATGACAGAACAATAAAAGAACAGGTATTAAGAAGACAGAAGATAACAACTGACATTGCATTTAAGTTTTTGAAGATCGTAGTTGACAGGAAAGCATGAAGCCAGAAGTGTTCCACAAGTGAAAAGTCTAAAAGAAGAAACTGTCAGAACTTATAGTTACATCTAGCAATTTCAACTGTAAAGTGATGAGACCTAGCTGCCAATCTAGTACTGTTCTTAAATTCATAAAGTTTAGATTCTAAAGAGGAAAGTTCATCAGAACAATTACTATGAAAATATTTACAGAAAAGGCACAGATAAGCTACATTACGGTGGTGAGAAAGTGAGTGAAGCCTAGTTGCCAGGTCAGGACTAATAACATTGCTGGTTATTTACTTTCATTGAGAATCTCTAAATAGCAGAAACACCAGACCAGATGTTGCAGTAATATCTAATAATAGAACAAAAAACTGGAAGAAAAACAAGTCCAAAATTAATCCTTATGATTAAAGTTAATCTCAAAAATTCAAGTTAAAATTTCTGATTGTTGAATGCAAATGGGTGACACCACCTTTTTCTCTTTAATTCTTCAGTGTCAGTTTAATGGGGAGTTGGTCGACAGATGGCTGCAATGTAAAATACACAGATGATAAGACGACTATCTGCGTTTGTGACCATCTAACAAATTTTGCAGTTTTAATGTATCCAGTAAAAATCGTAAGTAAACACTGAATCTGCATTGCTATATTAACCCCCCTCCCCACAAATGGGGGTTTACAGTCATATCCATTCTAACTATTGCAACTAAAGGGTTTATGGTCATATCGCATTGAAACACCAGTTCTCATACAATCACATAAGTTAAGCAACATTGAGCCTGGTCAGTACCTAGATGGGTGACTGCTTGGGAATACCAGCTGCTATAGGCTTGGATGTGCAAGTAGGGTAATGGATAATAGTTCTGAATTGAAAATCAGAGAGCTGAGTTCCAATTTCAGTCAGGTTCGTTAATTCACATGCACAAATACCCTTGAGAAGAGTATAAATCCACTTCTTCTTTGCCTAGATATGGGTTAATTACGACTTCTATCAGTAAAAATCATTATCATTTCCAAAAATAATGTATAATCTAAAAATGTTTTTTGGCTTTAAATAACCTGCAAAAGGTTGATAACTGATAAAGAATAATTAATTCATAGCTAAGCACCATCATGTTATACATATTGTAGGGAACCATTCACTTCATATTCCATTGGTGAGATGAAAGTTCCATTTGAACAGCTTCTTACCATGTACTGCTACTTTTTTCAGTCAATTACCAAGTTCATTGCTAAGAAGATTGGTTGACTGTGTCATGCCAGACAATTTTTATCATCAGAATTCATCTTGCATATTTATAAATTGACCATTTGTCAGTGCATTGAATGTTGCTGCAATATCAGGTCTGGTGTCCAGGCTGTATATCTTGAGATTCTCAACAAAATCCAGAGAACCGTCTGTTTTGTTATTGGGCCTGACATCTTAGGAGGCTCAGTTTTGGTGTGAAAGTGATTGATCTCAACTTCAATCACTTTCACACCAAAACTGAGCCTCCTACCTCTTACAGTGTAACCCTCTACCTCGAGTGGCTGTTGGGCCTTGTACAAGTACTTATTAGTATAACAATTTTTTTCAGATTTTAGCCCATCAAGTGTTGGTTTTTCTCTTCTATAAATTCAAATTGTATGGGATTTGATATTTATACTGACATGTATTCCTGACTAGAAAGAAAAAAGACACTTATATTTAGTATCTATTTGTCTTTCTAGATCTGGTTTTACTTATCTCTCTGGCTGTTGGTATGCCTCCAAAAGAAGAGAAACAGACCAAAGCATACCTTACTCTTCCCTATTTTTAATTTTGACACCCAGCTTCGTCTGCTCTCTTGGAGTAAATATCTACCTGTCTCTCTTTAACTGCACTCACACAGAGTGATGCATTGTCATGGAGTAATGTATAATGAATTTAATCCTTACTAAACATTCTTTATACACATACAATGAACCTCTAATATAACACACCCCAGTATAAAATCCAAAGAATCTGCAATATTATTGGTCCTGACCTGGCATCTCATCTCCAGTTAATTTTCTATGACTGTACTTAGCTTCCTTGTGATTTTTCTATAAATAATTTCATGGTAATTGTTCTCACGTGCCTTCCTTTTTGGTAACCTGACTTTATAAGTTTAAGCACGGTACTAGATTGGCAGCTAGGTCTCATCATTTTACAGTTCAAATTGCTAAATGTAACCATAGGTTCTATGCTGACAGTTTCTTATCTTTCACTTCTTGCTTGTGAAACTCTCTTCTGGCTTCTTGCTTTCCAGTCAACTTTGATCTTCAAAACCTTCAATACAATGTCTATCGTTATCTTCTGTCTTTTTAATTTCTTTTCTTTTATTGTTCTCTCTCCTTAACGTATCCTTTTTCTTATATTCTTTCATTCTCAGTAACCTCTTGCATCTTAGTGGTTTTATTGCTTACCTTGGGGTGAAAAGATTAAAAAAAATAAATAACAGCTTTCATCATTATCTCAATATTATTATCTTTTATAAATTCATGTAAGACACAATTTTTGTATGATCTTCGCTTGGAAATGGTACAATTCTTTGCCTTACATCAGTAGAACAAAACAGCCCAGTCCATAACACTAGCATATTTACTATTAGTGTTTTATATCTATGACTAACAAATAGTATTTACAACATAAATGGAAACATTTCATTTGCATAACACTTTTATTTTAAAAGAATATTTTAATAAAATTTCTCCTCAGTGTTGTTTATTTTTAATTCAAAATCAAATTTTAAAAATTGTCATATATAAGAAAGGTTTCTGTAGATAAATTTTTATTTTTAAATTCCCCATGTCTGTATGCAAACAATTTATATCTGCCTCATCAAAACTCATTTGTAAGTTAGAAAACTACTGCATTCATAATAAGTATTGTTGCTGTCTGCTATTTCACATTACTACAAATTATTATAAAATATCCCCACTCCAAAAAAAAATTTCTGGAATTATATTAAGTCAAATAATTTGTTTAATTAGATGTTCTTAAAATTGTACATAATTATTTAAAGTGGAAATTTTTAAAATGATAAATTAATTATTATTATTTGTAATAATAGTAGTAGAAATAGAAACATTAGAAAATTATTCAAATGTTTCTCTCATGTTCAGTTCCCTGTAGATATGTCCAGAGTAGGAAATTCATGTGCACAGTATAATGAAAGAAAAACTTTTTTTTTTTTTTTTTTTTTTTTTTTTTTTTTGGGAGGGGGGTTATATGCTAATCCAATACAAGGCCCAAGAGCCACTCAATGTAGAACATAACTGTTTAATGTTGTGTTGAGTGTACAAAAAGGCAAAAAGTGGAGTTTATAGGGCTATGTAGGAAAGATAACTGTCAATCCTAAACTTGAAGAGGACAAGATTATAGTGATTGGGAAAACATCTAGCTTTGTAGTCTGTTCCATGAAGAGCAGTTCTTGGGAAGAGAGATGTAGACTGGAAAATAACTCATCACCCACAGGGCCACATAGATGCTTTTAAACTCTTAGAAAGACTTCAACCCAGATATGGTAGCAATACTCCATTTTTTTGATCTGATCTTGTAAAGATAGTGTATAGCAGGAAGAGTCTGATACTTATTGGAGCTGTACAATGAACCAGCCATTTCTCAGATATATGAGTTCCACTTGAGTGATGTCACTTCCCTCTGTCTTTTCTATAAATATTTTCATTGCAACTGCTCTGACAAACTTTTTTCCTTGGTGCCCTTACTACATGAATTTAAATGTGCTTCTAGATTGGCATTTAGGTCCCACCTGTTTACTGTTGAAATAGCTAAATGCAACTGCTGCCACTTCTACTCCAACAGTTTCTTTTCTTTCTTTTCTGTGGAACTCCCTTCCATTTACTTACTTCCCTGATAACTATAATCTTCAAAAATTTAAATGCAATATTAATCGCCATCTTCTTGAAGCTTGCTTATCTTTTTGTCTTTTCCTCAATTCTCCTTATTCACAGTCTTCTCTTTCATTCTCTGTAACCCCCTAGCGTACTAGTGGCATTACCACCTTGCTTGGAGTGAAATGAATAAGACAAAAAAAAAAAAACAAGTCTAGGGTGAGCATGAATCTCAATAGACATTAAAGACAAGGAGCCTCCCAAAGAGAATCCCCATCCATCACGTCTTACTGAAAATATTGGTTAGAGGGAAATTTCAGGTAGATAAAAGAATTATGACATCTTACTGTTCTCATTTCTTAGGATATGCTTTTAGCAATTTAATAAAATATAAAAATATTGAGAAAGCCAGATATTCAAGTCAGATGGACACCTTTTCCAAAAGCCTAGGTACATGATAAATACAAATTACCTTTGCTATAGTTTGAATTCTACTAACCAATTCTATTCTAACCATTAAATGAACCTGTAATTCCAATGAAATTTCCCAACTAAAAAAGTGACAAATTTATTCTTTGAGAAAATACAGCAACTGTAATTGGTTCATCGGAGTGGCCCTCTAAAAGCTCAGATCTGAATTTTATGGATTACAGCTATCTCACTTGCAAAACCATTGTCATGACATTGTTGATATTGATTCATTGAAGCAGAACTTAACTCCTCTTGATACTATCCACAAAGCTACCACCTCCTGATTACCATGTTTACAACTTTGTGTTGAACATTCAGGCAAACATTGCAAACCTTGATGATTGTTCTGTTTGTGCATGAATCATGATAGCTGAATAAATTTCTTTCTGAATTTGCCACTTTTTGACTGAGCACTTTGTATAATCATTTATGTAGTGTTTCATGTTGCCATCCAATGATTGTAATTCAAATTAATTAACAAATGTATTGAATATTCAATGATAATATAATTAAAAAGTTGTATAATCTCTGCTTTCTTTGAATTTTCAGAATGAATTACACAGACACATTCTAAGCTACATCACAATTGTGGGATGCAGCTTTTCAATACTTGGTTGTCTCCTTACACTTGGTGTCTATGCTTATCTTTGGCGGTAAGAAAAATTTTTATTCAAATTGAAAGGATATCATCAACAGTATCACATTGCTGAAATTTAAATTTAGTAATTGTCTCCTCAGAGTGATTTCTTCAGAGACATGTTTTTCTTGTTTAGACTAGGCTGGTCCTCTTTGGAGACCTAGAGTGGTTGCTCATGGGTTAGATTAGTAGAGAGATACTAGCAATAATGCTGGGTCTCTTTGCAGGCCTGCAGTCAAGTAGTTGTTCATGGCTTAGTAGAGAGATGCTAGTAGTAAGGCTGAGTCTTTTTGCAGGCTTGTTTTCGTGTGGTTGTTCATTGTTTAGATTAGTAGAGATTCAACAGTAGGCCAGGTCTCTTTGGAAGCCTGCTATCAAGTGGTTTTCATGGGTTAGATTATTAGAGAGTTGCTTGCAATAATGCCAGGTCTCTTTGGAGGCCTACTCTTGAGTGGTTGTTCACAGTTTAGAGAGGTAAAAAGTTACTAGCAATAATACTGTGTGTCTTTGGAGACCTCCTGTCAAGTGATTGTTCATTGCTTAGGAAAGGAGTTGCCAGTAATAAGGTTTAGTCTCTTTGGAGGCCTGCTATCAAGTGGTTGTTAATGGGTTACATTAGTAAAGAGTTGCTAATAATACGGCTGGAACTCATTGGAGGCCTGTTGTCAAGTAGTTGTTGATGGCTTGGATTAGTAAAGAGTTTCTAGTAATCTTTGTTGTCCTGCTGTTGAGTGATTGTCAATAAGCTTTCTGCTACACTAGTTACCACCGTCAGTTAGGGAACCCAGTCAACCTTGCTATTTAATCCCGGCAGGTGAATAGATGGATTCTTCCCTTTCCCAAGAGCCTTTGTATGAAAGTGG